ACAAAGTATGCACTGTATTTTTAGTTGTATTTAGTTGTACATAGGTTATATTAGCCTGTGGTGGATAAGTTTTGCTTAGGCAAGATTTATTTGGCTTGATTGATGCTACTGAGGAGAAAGGGTTGTTTGAGTTGTGTTTGTGCAGGAATTCTATAGAGGAATAAGATTTCAGTCGTGACAATGCAAAGTTGCAAAGGTCAAGGGAACAGAAGAGAATGTGAAGAGTAGATTTATATGAAGAAATCTGAAGCATGTGTGGAAAAACCGCCTCTGTCACATGCCAGTTGGATGGCCTACTTCACGTGCAAGCAAGCCTTGATTGTTATGATAGCCACCTTTCCTTTTTAAGCTTGGGAAATCAATAACGGCTAATTAAGGAAACTCCAAAAGCATGTGAAGCCCTAGGAGAATTTTCCTTATAAATATTCAGCCGCAGCCGCAAAAAGAAAGGAGGCAAGGAAGAAGAAGAGAGAAGAGCTTTACCTAAGGCGCGAGCAAGAAACTACAGTGCTTTCCCACCGTCTACCCACCAATCTTCCTTGGTGTCCTCCATAGCCAGACGATAGCAGAGCGGTGATCAGGCCTCGAGAGAGGGTGATCACCAAGGAAGGCATGATGCTGATCAAGATTGTCACGACAAAGCCCCCGGCTTCGGGAGTCGTTCTTCCTTTGTTCTTAATTCTTATTTTATTTGGGGTTGTATTAAACAGTTAAATCTTGGATGATCTCTAATAACACCATGAATGCTTTACTTGGTGTTAAACTTTGTTTTGCCTAAACAATATTTTTATGTTTATGAATGATGAATTATGTTTGCTTATGACTGTTTTGCTTATAGTTTAAATATTTTGCCTTAACACTGTAAGAGCATCGAGAGATCGCCTGGGGTTTCGGAAAAACATGTCTTGGCATTGTGAGATCATCGAGAGATAACCTCTTGTCTAGATAGTGATTCTTAGATTCGAGAGAATTAAGATAGATCAACGTGAACAAAGGAATGAATCCAGGATGGTGAAGTTCTAACTTGTCTACCTTAGAGATAAGGAGTGAGTTTCAAGCGACTAAAGGGATAATTGCTAGAGTAGGTTAAGACAACGTCTATAGTTAACGCCGAGAGGTATTACCATAGCAACCGTCCAAGAATTCCCAGTAATCATGTTGGGCAGTTTAGTGAGGCATAATAATTCATTCAGAACTTAGAATAATTATTGTCAAGATAATAGTTTAGCATCAATGCTCTGTGACAAGTCTGAATATGAGAGGTTGTTTGCATTATATTTAAACCAATACTTGTTTTGTTTTGTTTTATGTGTTTGCATATTTCCTTTGTCTCGACTACATTATTCTGAAATCATTGAATCATTCTTCTTAGTTTATTCGTATTAGTTCTTAGTTCTAATACTTAGTAGGATTTAGTTTGTGACATTAGTTCTTGTTGTGGTGAAAATATATTTCTAATCCAATCCCTGTGGAGACGATACTCACTCACTACTATATTACTTGCATCGATTGTGTATACTTGGACAGATTTACTTGCCTTAGCATATACATTTACAAGCGATCAATACTTTAGAATCTCACTATGATTCATTTACATCAGGAAAGTGTTCAGGAACCTTTATACATAATATTTCTAGATTCAGATTACTGAGAGTGATTCCATTACCCAAACAATCATGAGTATTCAGGAGTATACATTGAATTCATAGGATTTTAGCCTAATTGAACTAAATGGGGGTATTCAGGATCCTTTGCATCTGAGATACTTTCGTGTTTAGATATAACCATAGTGATTTGAGCTGATAAAGGAGAAACGAAGATTCAGAACATTTACCATTTATATTGATCGATCAAATTATCGAACAACTCCCAAAACTGATGTCTGTTGACTGTCAATTTGTTACCTTTCCAGGGTATTCACTCTTTAATATCAACAATTCTTATCTGTAAATCATCTTCCTAATCATTGCTGAATAGATCTTCCAATGGTCTTTATTTCATTTCCACGTTTCAACGATATCAGTAAATACCGACGTACTTGATTCATGGTTCATGACCCATAAGGACAATTCATCATGTAAGTTCAACAGTGTTTCCAAACTCATCCAAATCATTTATTTAATCCTCCGTCATTGAGGTTACTTAGTTCATTTAGAAACCATGTTTATCTCGGTTACTTCAGAGTTTTCCAGAGTAATTCAGACGTTTCTGAATCTCAGATACATATTGTAATTCCGTTCAGTTCAATTTGGTATTCGTGGTTGATTTGTCTAACGAATATCCACTTTTTAGTACCGAATGCGCTCTAGAGTTGAGCTTAGCTGAGTACTCCCAGAATTATCATCAATCGAAATTTGATGAGACGAATAAACATTCAAGTGGTATCTATGCTATTCAAGTACTGACATAGCATTAGCGTTGGTCAACCTACTTAAGTTGCGTTCCATATCTTTTAAGGGCAGAACAACATCCATGTTTATTTGGATTTCTTAGTTAATCCAAGACATTTACTTAGTCTAGTCTATAAGGGAATTTTGGTCATTTTGGTGCTCAATGTTTTTCCATTCATTTCAAAGTTGAGGATATCCATTTATTCCTGGGCTTTGTGATATTCTTGAGTCATTTCCATTACAGGGATATTTTGGTCATTTTACAGATATAGGATATTTCAATCTTTTTCTTTCGTCCGGTCTTATTATTTAATTTCAAACTTATCATTTACTTCAGTCATTTCAAACAATTCTGACAAAAGAGCACCATCGATAAATTATTCTTCAGGTATTTACTCTTACTCAGAGATTTTCAGGTCAAGTGCATTCTCAGATTTTACAAACATAATATCAAAATTTTCTGTAAAAAACATGATCTTAACAATTAAATTCGTAATTTATCGAGTTAAGTACTAATCCTCAAAGTACTTTCTCATTCAGGGTCAACTCGGACTATTTTTACCTCTAAAGGGCATTCTAGTAATTTTGTAATTTCTTAACCATACAATCTCAGTATTAAAACTCTTAACAAAGATAATTATAATTTAGAGTTTCCAGGGTTAATCACTTTTCCGGATAATCTCTAAACTTTAAATTATTCCTTATCAAATTTCTAGTATCTTGTACAAGCCATCTTCGGTTTAGAAATCGGTTATCCATATTTCCTAAGAAAAAACTAGTATTTTCTATACACATCAGTAGTTTCATCAGATCAATCTATCTTTACAACTTCTTATCCAACTTCCAAGGTTAATTCTTGTCTTTTTACAATATAAGGATATTTTCATAATTTTACTTAATCGAGGTATTCGCATAATTTATCACCTAAACTGTATTTGATTCGAATCTATCCATAATCAAACAGGCATAATAGACCAATCATATATATCCATGCATTTATTCATTATCAACATGTTCCATAAAGCATAAAGAGGTAGTAATGTATTACCTCGATTTTTATGTCATACCGATCGACCATTTAAACTTCATTCGAACACCCTCGATCTTGAAATCAGCTTCCAATAATTCCTCAAATTCATATCAACATAAATTTCATAAAAACCGGATCTTAATTGCATAAAACGGATCGAACCGACTGATTAATCAGTGAAAAACAGCTTACCGGGTTCGAATTTAGCAAAACGGACTTCGAAATCGAACTCAGGACGTCAAAAAATATAAAATATAATTTTTCAAAAATTTTGACTTTTTGGTTAAATTCAATGGTCAAAGTCAACGATCAAAGTTAACAGTCAACAGTAAACGGCTCGGCTCAAACAGCTCCCCAAGCATCCAGACGAAGCCCACTCTCAGGTGGTGGCGCGTGCGGTGTCGTACAGTGTTCGAAAAATTCCCGAAAAATTTCTAATTTTTTTAAGGCATTTTAAGACACTTACCAAGCTGGGTTCACAATTTTGAACGGCAGAGAGCTCGATTCCGAAACATCGAAAACTTTGACTTCCTCACGTCCCTCACGCGCCGGTGACGACGGAGACAAGAAGGACATCGGTGGACTCGGAACGATGCAAAGAACACGATGGTACGGGAGGTGTCGTAAACGGAGCAACGATCGGCGATTAATTGACAATTTTCACGGCGATGGAGATAAAAAAGTCAAAATTTTGAATCGAAATTCACGGCGTTAGACAACGTTTTACTATGATCGGTTTACGGGGTTTTGTTCATCGGTTGACGATGAAACGATGGTGGTTTCGGATCGACGATCGGTGGTCGGACAATGTCAGGATCAGATTTGAAAGTAAGGGTGCGGGAGAGGAATTTTAGCAAATTGTTCTGGTATGAAACCAGATTCAATTTGCATGTATATAACCAAAAAAAATCTGCCGACACTCTACGGGAATATTCAGGACTTAGTCCCTGAATTTTCTTTAACTTCTTAAAATAGACTGTCAACTTTGAAATTTTACAATTAAATCATCAATTTCTTCCAAAATACCACATAAAATTCAATACTTTATAATTTCTAAAAATTTAGCCCCAAAATTAGGGTGTGACAATAAACACTTACTTTTTCGAGACTAGTTATACCGTTTGGGTGTACTATTTGCACTCTCCGTCGCCGGGCAGAGAAACGTCTCGACAGAAGTCTTTAGTTCTTTTGCCTAAAAACTGTCTTGAAATTCAAAATGGGATTAATTATGGAAAATTGATGCACAAGGAACTTTGTCCAACCAATAGTGATAGTTGCTTAAGGAAGTCTACCAGCATTTAGGCCAATTGTGAACCAAAATTTCCCTACTCTGATCCGTCCCCATCAGGCGATCATCAAAGTAACGATTAACGAGCTAGAAATCTAAACGACACAAATAGATGTGTTGGGGTAAACATTGTCCAAACTTGAAAGCAAAGTGGCAGTGGCAGACCGCATTTCTAGTACGACCTCTAAATATTCCCATAACACTTGTCATGCTCTTACAACACAAAGAATATGAATCAATCCCAGACACGTAAAACTCTAGTCCAATCAACCATTTTCTTTTACATATTTTCTTCAAAGTGAATTGAGAATTATAAACAACAGAAAGTAAAGGTGGTATATAATGATATAAGCCATGGACGAAGCAAATGATGGTTGTAATCAATCTCAATCCAAGATGTCCATATCAGCTAAAACGCCTCTTTCGGACATAGCGCAGGCGATCGAGGAGCTGTCAGAGTTGTTGGAGTCTCAGACCAAGGATCCAAAACTTCCGTTAGACACGTTTTGTGAAGCATGTTCTTTAGTTTCTGTTCTGTTCAGCTGCCTCGGCCTTGCCTTCAAATTCGCCGAGTTGGAGTACGTCGCCAAGGTTCATTGCTTTATTTTTGTTGTCCTTGTACATTGGTAGAAGTTTGAGACATGTTATTAGGTAGTCTCCATATGCAAATGCAACATTTCATAATGGTCTGGTGTCTTGTAACTTCATCAGGTACATGATCTTGTGGAGGCATCCAAGAGGTTTGATACCTTAGACGATGTACTTGATCTCGATGTTGCTAACCACACCGTGAAACAACCAGGAAGCCATTCACGGAACCTGCGTCGAGTTCGGCAAGGCCTTGACCTCATCCGCGCTTTATTCGAAGAATTCGTGTCATCTGAGTATGCTTTGTCCTTCCCTCTCGTCGTTAACACAAAATAATAATAAGAAACTGTCCTCCATGTCTCAATTCTCATGACACAAATTTTTATTTTTGGCTCCAAATTGCAGCGATTACTCTTTGAAGAATGCTGCATCAGCAGCTTACGCTCAAGTGTGTGCACCATACCACACATGGACTGTCAGGACTGCTGTTTCTGCAGGAATGTATACTCTTCCAACAAGGGACGAACTTCTTCTCAAGCTCAACGAAACAGGTTAGTTTTACCAATGATTTATTTACTTAATTCAGTTGTAAATCGATTAAAATGTATTTATGAATGTGTGTATATATATATATTTGCAGATTATACAGTAGAAAAGAAAATGAGAAGGTATATCAAAGCTGCGCGCCCAGTTATAGCGTACATTGATAAGCTTTATATCTCTAGGATGATCGCCTTGGACTGGTGATTAATTATATCAACAGGGGGAGTGTCAAAGAAGAAAGCACACATTTTATTCAAGCAACATACGCTTCTATATATATATATATAACTAATTTGTGTACTTGTGTAATGCGGAATATAATTTATATATATAATCAAATTTTTATTTGAAAGTAATAGTGTGTAAATAATAGTTTAATTCACATATGTAATTAGCACAACAATCTTTTTTGCGATATTATTTAACACGTAAGTGTAAATCATACACGTAAATAAAGATTGTGACTTGCAAGTTGGTTTCCCCACATGTACCATGGTCAGTGGTGCACCCTTTTCTATCTCTCTCTTATAGATCAAATTTTTGGTTACATTGTGTCTATTACAGTTGCGACAATAACAGATACTATTGTAGTATCTCGATCGTGCAATAATGATTGGAACACAATCTATCGGATAATAAAACCCTCCCACGGAAGTATTTAGCTTTGAGAACATGATATAGAACAGTATAAAGAGTTGGTAACAAGTCTCCAATCATGCTGAACCAACATTGATAAACTAAAACATTTGAGATTACGAAAGCCAATCCCATCATTGTTAAACTTAATTAGATTATTAAACTTGATTATTCCACTTAAACCAATGAAGCCTTTTATGAATTAGATTATTAAACTTAATTATTGTTATTTAAGTTATTAAAAAATATAATTACTAATTTTTATATTTTTATAAATTTATAGTTTTTTATAATTTTTTAAGATTTAATTTATTATTTCAATTTTTTTATTGAAAATATCAGTGAATCAAATGTTAACGTGTTAACAAATCCGATGATCGTTAACATATTTAATGCTTAAAGAAATTTTATGAATTTATATGATTAAGATTCTTTATTTAAAAATTTATTTAAAATTAAACTAAAACTTACTTGTTTTTTTTTTTTGGATACATCCCTATTACCTATTTGATATTTAAGCTATATGATTAGATATTAAACTATATCTCTTTTTTCATTTATGTGTATACATTTTTTGATCAATATAGGTGTTTAATGTAAACAACGTTATTATTTTAAGTGTCTGGTGGATGACGATCGTTAAAAGATTCTGCTAATCACTCCAAATGTGTGTGACACATTTGTAAATTTTTAAAGAAAATATTTTTAAAAAAATTAAAATTATTATTATTTCTCAAAAAAAAAACCCAAATATTTCTAAAATTCTAAAAACACCAAAACCTTTAAATTTCCCTAATCCTTAAATTCACGTACCATTTCAGCTGCCTACACCGTCCCCATCGTCCATCACCAAGGATTCGAGTTTCTCTCCGTACAACTTCAACAGTTTAGGAGCTTTGGATAAACACATTTCTTAAAAACATCAACCTTACTCTTTGTTGCAGATTTATTCACTTTTCTAAACATGATAACAGCATGAACGAACTTAAGCAACAAAGGATCGAACCACAGGGATTGAAATTAGAATTTTTAAAGTTCTATGCTTTTTAAAAAAAAAATTTGAATTTTTTGGAGGTTTTTTTTTTAAAAAAACTATAATTTTAAATTTTCATTTTAAATAAATTTTTTAAATTTACCTGAATGCGACATATGTCACATAACATATACTTTTAACGACTATTATGATCAATATAATTAAAATATAATATTTATAATGTTAGACACATATAATGATCGAAAAATAACTTGATTACGCCTGTAAATTATAACAGAACGGGCGCTAAGATGTCAATTTGCAGCGTTCACGTCCCTTCCAGGAAATTGTTAGCTCAACTAACCGCGTTTTAGCCTTCTTCTTTATTTGGTTTTCCCATTACAATCACCATTTAGAAAAGGAAAACAAAATACTTGGGTGTTAAGAAAAGAAAACAGTCAACCCCCATAATATGCAGCTGCCTCTATTTCCCTCATCCCTTGCTTAGCACATCACATAAAAAGCACAACAAACACTAAGCCAGCCTCGTTTGTTTCCTTCATTCAATCCATCATCGAGTCCGAGGAGCAAACACGGCTTATGGGGAAGAAGCTTGATGCCTTGCTCGGAAGAGGCTTCAAGCCCTCCAAGTTCAAGTCAATTATCAGTGTTGCCATTTCCCGTCTTTCCATTTTCAAGAACCAGCGTGAGGCTCGCTGTAACCTCGCTCGTTCCGATGTCGTGCACCTCCTTCAACTCGGCCACCATGACCGTGCTCTTCTTAGAGTAAGTACCAAGTACGTTCCTGTGTTGGTTTTCTTTATAGTTTGGAGCTAAAATTGGGAGGTTTGTGTGGACAGGTTGAGCAGGTGGTGAAGGAACAAAATATGTTGTATGTGTTTGGTATCCTGGAAGGGTATTGTAATCTCCTGATTGAAAGAGTCCATCTCATTGAGCAAGAGAAGTAGGTTTCTTCCATATATCATTTGCTTTTCTTTTTCTTCAGTTTTGTCGATGACCCTGACTTTTATATTTGATTTGTAGAGATTGCCCTGATGAGCTCAAGGAGGCAATCTCTGGCCTGCTCTTTGCATCTTCTAGGTGTGGAGATTTTCCCGAGCTTCAAGAGATTCGTGCAATCTTCATGTCTCGATATGGAAAAGAATTCGCTGCTCGTGCCATTGAGTTGCGCAACAATTGTGGAGTGAACACTACGGTAAATCCTTATTTGGATCTGTCTAATTATTAGGAAAATGAAACAAGCAATGAAGTTTTCCCATGTTTATTAACAATGTTTAGTTTAGTTGTGCAGTATGGTATAACATAGTCCTTGTGTCCCACAGATTATACAAAAACTCTCGACTAGACAACCGGACTTGCAGAGCAGATGGAATCTGCTCAACGAGATTGCGGCCGAGAATGGCATTGCCTTACAACTCCATGGAACCTCTGTTTCTGCAACTGATGTAAGCAATTTACTACAACAATCAAGACGGTTTGTCGAAAAATTTTCCGTTTCGTGTTAATCATAAAGAGACAACCTATAAATTGCTAATGATTTTATGAATACAGGAAATTTTGGATGGAGGCAAGAATCATAGACAGCCCAAGCTAGACACATCAGGTAAGGCAACCAACCATGCAAGCCTAGGAGATGACAACGACTTCTCCGATTCACCAAAAGCAAGGAAAAAGTACAAGGATGTAGCTGATGCCGCTCAAGCAGCCTTTGAGTCGGCTGCACATGCAGCAGCAGCGGCACGAGCAGCTGTGGAACTCTCCCGGTCTGATTTCCATGATCCTGATGATCACAACAGTGCTGATAGTCAAGGAAAAAGAGTGTTTGACATTCATGAACCTAGTTCTAAAGGTAAAGAAACTCATCAAGGCAGTCAAGCAGAGGAGTCGAACCAGGGCACGAAGACCTCGGAAATCAAAATCTCGAGTCCTTCGAGTAAAGAATCATCAGAAGGAAACCTGGACATGAGAACAATGTCCTTGGATGAAGTGGATCCAATCAAGCTATTGGAAAAGGATGTAATTATTCATGAGAGTGATGAGGATAACCATGATTTCTATGATCCCAGTTTTGATATGAACACAAGGGAGTTAAAAGGCAAGGACAACGAGAACTCGGAAAATACTGGACTGATGTCTCAGAACTCATTTAATAACCATGTCCCCACAACCCTTCATGCTGACCTGAAGCTAGAGACTGGACCTGAAAACTCCTCAGAACATGTCATTCGAAGCACCAGGACGAAAGGTAGCCTACCCTTCACTATAATAAACAAGGGGCCATTTTCTGTGAGGACTAAACAATTAAGTGGGTACCGAGGAGCATCAGTGTACTAAAATCATTTTTAAGTTCTGGCGAGTTGCATTATAGAATCAGGCGGGTCTATAAGTTTGTTATTCATTTTCATCATTTTGTTCATTTTAATGAGATGTAAACTTGTTTGTAAGATTTTGTTTGGAATTGTTGTTGAAACATATTGAGACGCAAATCATTTCAGATAAGTACTAAAATAAGGACAACAACAATTCAGCACTTAAAATATTCCAATCCAAGCAATTCTCAAATTCAGTTGATTAACCAAGGCCATTCATCATTGCAAATTAAAAAGAAAAAAGAAAAAAAAAAGAATAAGAAGATAGCATATCTAGCTCTGGGAAAGGTTGCCACCACTTTGCTGCCAGAGATTGATGATATCAGTGGCCTGATTCAGAAGAATAATCATCTTCTTCTGAGAAATCCAGGGCCTGCTTTCTAGAGTGGCCTTGAGATCTTCCCAGGCATCTTTCCTAGGCCAAAAGAAATAGGGACTGAGAGGAACGGTGCCATGGCCAGGAATGACTTGATCAAGAGCCAGCCCGATGTTCTTCTCCATCCATATGAATTTCAGAACCAGCCTGGGTTTTGCAACTTGCTTCACCGACACCTCAGACTTCTGAGGAACTGTGGTGGATGGTGTCTCGGTGTCTGAGGATGTTTCAGCCGTGAGTGCTGCTGAGGCAGTTACTCTTCCGGTGGGTGCACTTCTTTTCTTCAAACTGGGGTTTGCTGCCTTAAAGCAAATGGTGGTGCCGGAGGACTTATGATGACCAAAATAATGCAAAGGGATAGTAGTTGATGGAGTTGCCATGGACAACATTTTGTATTGCAGAATGGGAGGGAGGGAGGGAGGGAGGGAGAGAGAGAGAGAGAGGTTGTCTTAAAAGTTACTAGAGGAGATAGGATAAGGTATATGGGGAGATAGTACGGGTAGAACTCGGAGGATATTAGGGACTTTTCACGAGACTGAGGCATTTTATTTCTGGTTAAATTACAAATTTGATAATTGAAGTTTTAATTTTTTTAATTTATTGTATTTTAATTTTTTTAAATTTTCTAACTAAACTTAATAAATTGGGTTATTTTGATTACGTAGTTGTTTTCTCACTAACGATATTATAAATGGACTGTTATATAGATGTAATACGACGTTGCTTTGGTAAAACAATTATTTTTTTAAAACGACATCATTTTAACGTCGTTAACTATTTAACAACTAAATGATAAAAAAAAACTCAATGTATTAAGTTCAGTGAAAAATTGAAAATTTTTAAAATTCAATTTAATGATGAAATTTCTAATTTACCCTATCTTTCTGTTCTAAAAGATTCTAAGGTATATATATTTGCATAAACTATATATGTTTGGTCATCTTTATTTCATTTTTATTAGTTTTGATAATTAATTTTAAGAAAAATAACATTTTTTATTCATATTATCGAAAACGTTTTTAAAGTGGGTGATAAAATTAGACTATTAAAAACTTAATTATGAACTTAGTTTTATGATTAAAATTGGAATTAAATTATTCAAATAATATCATTAAAAAAAATATTTATCAAAATAATACATATAGGCAACTATTTATTAAAATGATATTACTTATATCATATAAGATAAATATTTTTCACAATAATCATAATTTTAGAAAATATGTTTAACATATTATATCTTTCTTTACGTTATAAACTTAGTCAGTATATCAAAATATTTTAATTGAGAAATCATAAAAGTATTTTTAATCAAATATATTTTTCTATTAAATAATAATAATTTATCTAGATGTTTAAGATATATTAATAGTCATTAGATTTTTGGTTCAAACCCTACTACAAGTATTTTTTATTATTTCTTTTTTAGTTATATGTATTTCTAATAAAACATAGTTTTTTAATCAATAACTTAATGTGTTTTTTATATATAAAAACAAGGGTAAATTACACTAGTAGTCCTAAACTTTTAGAGTGCTTATAATTTGTTCACTAAATTTTTTAAAGCTTGTATTAAAATTACAAAACTTTTAATTAACTTTTTTATGATCACTATCATTTGTTGTCGTTATATGTCTCACGTCATTTTTTTTAATAAATTAACTCTCCAATAAGATGTCCCCATGTCATTTTACACATTTATGTGACGTTTCTTATAGAGAATGGCACATATGCACAATCAACTTTGTGGTCGTGGGATCGAGTCCCACTGAGGGCAATTCATAACGGAGGTCTTCCACGGAAGTTGCTCTCAACCTGGGGTTGGGGGCAGCCTGCTACCCTACCTCCCCCTTACCCCATTACATATGGGAATAGGGTCAGCTAATTTTTTCAGGTTTATAAAAAGAAAAAAACAGTAGATATGTGGAGAACATCTGATCAAACTTAAAGGTTTGGACATTTACCGAATGTCTGTATAAGCTTCTCTAGGCAGGTATAGTAAACTGGACACTATCATCTGCTCAGCAGTGCTAGAAATATGTGGCAGCTTCATGTGGCACCATTATGTTGTTTTGTGCATTGTAGTCATGCTACTAAAGGGTTTTGAATGTTTAATGTAAAACTTGGTTTATTTTGGTGATGTCAAATCCTTGTTTAAGGGTTGAGGTGTTTTTCTTTGGGGTTTTTCTAGTACATCATGATGCATATGAATTGTTCAAATCCTTTCCCAAATGTTAGAACACTAAAATTTAGGACTACAGTGTACAAAGTTGCATTTTGGACTAAAAATATATTTTTATAAGCATCGATATTTTGTGTTTTGTTTCAAAGATTTTGGTGAATAATGAATTGTCAAGTATTTACACTTCGTGACATTTACGTGTAATTTTGTAATTGTTCTGACATTCTAATTTATATTTCAAACAAACCTATTTTTTTCAAAACCTTTCAAATGTAAAATAAACTTTAAATTTAAACGAATAACCAAACTGTTATAGATTAAAAGAAAGAGTAGTCACAAGAGAGAAGAATTTAGAGAAGAGATAGTAGAAAGGAATTCATCATTCATTGCATAAAAGAGAACTGTTGATTACACAACAGTTTTTATTTAGTTACAAGCTGGTATAGAGAATCTACTAATGTCAGCTAGCATTTTATGCTAACAAACTGTCTAACAAACTGATTATATCATTCTTTGGCTGTTATAGGTACTGGGCCATTCTGCTTGGGCCACTCCACATTGCCCTGGGATATCTTCGGCCCGCTTCTTCCCTCATCAGGTAACTTTAACCCCTTTTCTCCTCGTTCTTCAATTCCTTCTCATTCCTTCGTTCTTCCTCTTCTCCTCTGATTCTGACAATACCAACCCCACGAGATGAGCCTTGTCCCCAAGGATCAAAATCAGGAAACTAGCCCCTGAGAACCGAATAGTCCTCGCATGTATCATTCAAGTCATCCATATTCGTCCATCGAACCAAAAGTTGAGTGATTGGTCGATTGTGTCGATTTATTATACGCCTTCCCATAATCGTCAAAGGTTTAATGCTTAACTGTCCTTCTTCATCAACTGCAGGAGGATCAGTGGTAGCAGTAGCAGAATCCCCGATGAATTTCTTCAAAAGGCTCACATGGAACACTGGGTGGAGCTTCGAAGAATTTGGTAAGTCCAGTTTATAAGCCACCTCTCCTATTTTTTCCAAAATTGTATATGGACCATAATACTTAGCTGCTAACTTGAGGTTTTTTTGCAGAGCAAGCGAGGTTTGCCTATAAGGCTGCAGTTTCAGGTAAACCCTATCTCCAACAGTAAAAATCCTTTTAGACCTTTTCTTATTTGCCTGTTGCTTCATCCGATTACTAGCCATTTCTAACTGTTGTTTCACTAACTGATTTGCTCTCTGCTTGTAGTAATATTATATACTGCTTATAGTGTAGTGTCAGTAGACCAAACCATAATAGGTGGTTTGTATCCATATAAAGCTTGAAAAAGAGTAAGCTTAATAGCAGTGTGAAAAGTGGTATTGTACCACCACTCTGCCTGAGATAGCCATGTAGCCCATTTCTTAGGTTGATAGAAACAAAAACCCCTTAAATACTGCTCCAAACATTGATTAACTCTTTCTGTTTGACCATCTATCTCTGGATGCTAAGCAGTGCTGAAAACTGTCTGAGTACCCAACTGTTTCATCAGTTCCTTCCAAAAAGAACTGGTAAAAGTCTTATCTCTATCTGAAATGGCCATCTTAGGCTGGACATGTAACTTGTAAACATTGTCTAAATACAATTTAGCAACCTCTGCTGCTAAATAGGGATGAGATAGGGCCAGAAAATGACTATACTTTGTAAATTTATCCACTATAACTAGAATGTAATTCTTCTTAAATGAGGTAGGTAGACCCTCTATGAAATCCATAGTAATGACCTCCCAAGCTTGACTAGGAACATGCAAAGGTTGTAATAAACCCGGCTTAGAAATATGCTCCACCTTTGTTTGTTGACAAACTGTGCAACACCTTACATAAGCAACAACCATAGGTTTAAGTTTAGGCCAATAAAAATTAGACCTAACCCTGTAATAAGTAGCTTGTACTCCTGAATGACCTCCCTATGGAGAGTCATGTAAGGTTTGAATAATTTTCAACCTAAGACGTCCATGAGCCCCAATATAGATTCTGTCATTGTATCTAAGAACAGATTTAGAAAATTTTCATTTACTATCTTCAGTAGGATTTATAGCCAAAATTGAAATCCAATTCTGAGCTAAAGTATCACCTTGATAACTCTCCTCTACTTCCTGCACCCAAGTAGGAATCAAAACAATCACTCTTAAAGCAAAACATTGAGCTTGTTCTTCCCATCTTCTAGATAAAGCATCAGCAACAACATTCAGTTTCCCCTTTCTATACTGTATAGTATAGTCCAAACCCAAAAGCTTTGTTAATCCCTTCTTCTGAATAGTGGTAGTCAATTTCTGTTCTAGCAGAAACTTCAAAGGCTCATGATCAGTTTTAATAACAAAGTGTCTACTCTCTAAATAATATCTCCACTTAGAAACAACCAAGAGAATAGCAAGATATTCTCTTTCATAAATAGAAAGAGCTGAATGTCTAGGGCTTAGAGCCTTACTCAAATAAGCAATAGGTCTATCTTCCTGTGAAAGGACAGCCCCAATACCTCCAGAACTTGCATCTGTTTCCAGATAAAAAGTTTTAGAAAAATCAGGCAATGCTAAAACTGGAGCAGAACACATAGCTCTTTTAAGGGCTTCAAAAGTAATACAAGCATCAGAATTCCACTGAAACCCATCCTTCTTTAAAAGTTGTGTTAAAGGTATACTAATAATACCATAATTTCTGATAAACCTCCTGTAATACCCTGTTAATCCAAGAAATCCCCTCAAAGATTTAATGGTTTTGGGTCTTGTCCAATTCTGTATTGCTTCTACCTTGCTAGGGTCAGTAGACACCCCTGCAACAGAAATAATGTGCCCTAAATACTCCACCTGCTGCTGTCCAAAAAAACACTTGGACAATTTTGCAAATAATTGATTAACTTGTAAAACTTCTAAAACCAGTTGCAAAATGCCTCATATGATCCTCCATATTTCTGCTGTAAACCAAAATGTCATCAAAGAAAACCAAAACAAATTTCCTAAGGAAGGAATTAAATAAATCATTCATAAGAGCCTGAAATGTAGCAGGAGCATTAGTTAGGCCAAAAGGCATCACCTTAAATTCATAATGGCCTTGATGTGTTCTGAAAGCTGTCTTATAAATATCTTCTGGTCTGATTCTAATCTGCCAGTATCCAGACCTCAAATCAATCTTAAAAAAATAGACTGCCCCATGCAGCTCATCTAATAAATCCTCCACTATAGGAATAGGAAATTTATCCTTGATTGTCATACTATTTAAATGTCTATAATCCACACAAAATCTCCAAGTGGCATCCTTCTTTTTAATAAGAAGGCAGGGTGATGTAAAATGACTTTTGCTAGGCTGAATAACGGAAGAAGAAAGCATACTGGCAATCTGTTTTTCCACCTCAACTTTCTGATTATGAGGGAACCTGTAAGGTTTTAGATTAACAGGTGTAACATTAGGCTTTAGAGGAATAGCATGGTCATGAGTCCTCTAAGGTGGTAATCCTTCTGGTTCAGCAAAAACATTGCTTTACTTGTCCAATAATTGTTGTATTTCAGCAGGAATAGGAGGAGAATTCCCTGACATGGTCAATAAAATAATGTGGCCCAAAATATTTGAATCCCAAGCAGTCATTTTAAGTAAGGTAGCCCCAGAAATCTGCTGTAATTCTGATGAAGGTTGTTGTCATTGAATACATATCTTTTCTCCTTGATGGTCAAAACTCAAGGTCATATTATTGAAATCCATCAATATAGGGCTAAACAATTTCATCCAATCAACTCCCAATACCATATCACTACCACCCAATTTAAGCAATCTGAAATCATGTACAAAAATGTGTCCCTGCATTTGCCATTCAACCTTGTTGTATCTAGCAGAACTAAATAATTGTTGGCCATTAGCCACAGTGATGGCCAAAGGATAAGGGGTAGTAACTTATATGCCAGCATCAGCCTATTTTGGAGTCAAAAAACTATGTGTACTCCCACTATCAATTAAGATATTCAATTATCTGCCCTAAATAGATCCTTGAATTCTCAATGTAGTATGTCCAATAGAGCCTGTAATCGCATTCATAGAAATTTCTAGAGTTTCCTCTTTTGCTTGTGGAGACAGTTCTGAATCAGTAGGAAAAAATTCCAATGATGGATTTTCAGAATCTTCAGTAATCATATTCAACTGTCTGTTCTTACATTGATGACCTAGAATAAATTTATCACCACACTTAAAACAAAGATTATTTTGTCTCCTGTAATCCATAAGATTCGGCCTTGGGTTTTGTACTACTGTAGGTTTTGAATTAACTAGAAGTGAAGCAGGTTTAGAACTAATAATGGGGCTTGGGTAGGGTGGGGATTTAAAAATAGGCCTCAGCCTTTTATTTTCAAACTCAATAGATAACTCATAAAGTTTTGCTTGTTTACATACTTCAGACAAATTCTTAGGATCCAAAGCCTTGACCCTATGTTTGATATCATCTCTTAGCCCACTAATAAAAAGTGAGACAAAAAATTCCTCAGTTAAAGTGGGGTTTTGTAACAGCATATGAGGTTGTAATTCCTCAAATCATTCTTGATAATCCTCAACTGACCCCTTTTGAGTTAATTTAGTGAACTCTTCCACAATATCACAAAAAGATCTGTCACTGAATCTATGATAGATATCAGCTTCAAATTCATGCCATGTTACATGGTGCTTTTGCATTATATATCCATCAAACCATATTTCTTTTTTGCCTGTCAAATACATAGTAGCTACCTCTACTCTTTGATCAACAAGAACACTACAAATAGAGAAATATTTCAAGCATTTTTGAATCCATCCTCTAGGATTAACCCCATTAAATGGCAGTTTTATCTTAGGTCTGTGCCACATAGTTCCTGAACTGGTAAATGAATCCCATGACCCCTTTTTTTCAACTTCCTGTCCAAACAGATTAGGTCTAGAATCACTGTTTTCACCCTCTTGATTTTCAGGCCTAAAACTGTTCTTAAGAGCTAAACAAGCATCAGGTTTAGTCTTTAATATCTCAGGTTTATCCGGTTTATAAGTAAATCTAGACTTGTCATTCACCACAGTCACCAAAACATGATTCTTTTCCATATTTTTAGAAGTATCAGGAGATTGTACCTGTTCATCAGTAGAATGCTCCTACTCCTCTGTCCTGCCTGTCAAAATTCTAAGCAGTTTCTTAACATAACCTTGATTAGTAGTCATTCTGGACTCCAAAGCAGTGATTCTATTCTCCTGATTTTCCCACTATTTAGGTGGATCAGTTTTATCTTGGCCTTTCTTCACCAACGCAACTAGATCTTCAATTTGTTTTTGAATCCCAGACAAATCAGTTTCTGCCATAACTTGATTCTTCTTTGGCATGCCCACTCAACTTTTGCTAGAATCGAAGCTCTGATACCAATTGTTATAGATTAAAAGAAAGAGTAGTCACTAGAGAGAAGAATTTAGAGAAGAGATAGTAGAAAGGAATTCATCATTCATTGCATAAAAGAGAAATGTTGATTACACAACAGTTTTTATTTAGTTACAAGCTGGTATAGAGAATCTACTAATGTCAGCTGGCATTCTATGCTAACAAACTGTTTAACAAACTGATTATAACATTCTTTGGTTGTTACAGGTACTGGGCCATTCTGCTTAGGCCACTCCACATTTCCCTAGGATATCTTCGGCCCGCTTCTTCCCTCATCAGGTAACTTTAATCCCTTTTCTCCTCGTGCTTCAATTCCTTCTTTCATTTCAATTCCCAAATTACTCTCCATAATCCCTAACCCTCGTTCCTCTCTTCCCAATTCCTCCTCATTCCTTCGTTCTTCCTCTTCTCTTCCGATTTCTTCCTCTTCTCCTCCGATTCTGACACAAACCCTCGATCAGGACTAAAAGTAATTTTATTTGTTTATGTAATTTTTTCGCTTATGTATGAAAGAAAAATCAACGGTTTGGGAGCTAAGATATATATATATATTTGAATTTAGAAGACATGTAAACTCGGGCAACAAAATGAATAGTTGTCAAGCTTTAGAGCTAGTTAATATTTTCTATTACAATGACTGCGGAAACATTCAGTTTATGAAACAAATAAATACAAACCCTAAATCTATATGGTGAAAGAGTGAATATAGACATTAGAAACAACTAAAATATGATGAATCAACCTTACACCTCTTGCTATTACATTTGTGGTGTCATTTACATAACATTTAAGTGTGGATATATATGATCATGCATCGCAATGCTCACCGAATATGACCTCCTTATCCCCTTTGTCAACAAGTGGGAAAAAACTAAGGGTCTGTTTGTTTGCCGTAAAACCAATTACGGAATTGGTTTTCCCCGAAATCCCGTGTTTGTTTCATGTAATTCGTTTTCCGGAAAATGTTTTCCCGTGTTTGTTTCACGTAATTCGTTTTCCGGAATGTAATTCATTTTCCTAGTAACAGAATTTCCTTTGTGTTTTCTATAAAATGACTTACAGATTCATTTTCCGGAATGTAATTCATTTTCCTAGTAACAGAATTTCCTTTGTGTTTTTTTGTAAAATGACTTACGGATTCATTTTCCGTAAGTCATTTTCCGAACTTTTCACTTTAAAGCAAAAATACTCAAAATAATTTTATTTTATGAATTTAATATTAATAAAATATTTTAATATCATTTTCATCAAAATATTATTTATTAAAATATTTAAAATATATTTATTAATATTTATAATAATATAATATTATATTTTTAATATTATATAAAATAATCAATTATATTATAATAATATAATATAAGATATTATATTATATTTTTATTTTAATAATATATAATAATTTTTTTATATATTTAATAATGAATATATTATTTATATATTTAAATAATATTTTAGTAAAGATATTTAAAATATACTAATATTTTTAAAATATAATATAACACTATTACTTAATAAATAATAATAATATAATTTATAATATTTATTTCACTAAAATATACCAATATTAATATTTTATTAATAAAATTATAAAAATAATATTAATAATAAATAAATTATTTTAATATTTTAAAATAATAATATTAAGTTTTATGATAAATAATATTATTTATTATATTTAATATTTGTAATAAATAATTTTTAAAAAACTCTTCAACTAGTGGAAAAAATGTTTAAATAACATCTTTCAAACATCATAAAACTTTTTTCAGATATTTTCCAGAAATGTGTAATTCATTTTCCAGAAATGTAATTCATTTTCCAGAATTCAAATTCCAGTAATTCAAATTGCAGTAATTCATTTTCTGGAAAACCAATTACAGCCAAACAAACAGACCCTAAGTAGTGAATCCAGACACAATGCATTTTATCAGCCAAAAGACCCCATATTGTTGAATAAATCCAAATCCACCAACTCTTTATTCTTTAGCATAGCAGCAATTCATTCACTTGCTTATTTTGTGGTATGTTCTCTTTCTATAATTGCAATTTCATGGTCCCCCTCTAATCTAGATATGCGACTTCTTGGTGAGTGAGTGGAAAACTACTAAAAACCAGTAAAAGTCTACCTTGTAATGCTGGCTGGCTGACGACTAATGAGGATTAAGGTGAAGTGATGGCAACCCCTTAGCATGCTGACCCTCCATTTCAAGATGCATCAGTGACTTCTGTCTTTGATACCTGTTCCTCTCTGCAGCAAGTGCTGCCAACACCATAATATAATATAATGTCGATAAAATTCAATGAACAGTCTGGCAAAAGGAGATAGATTTCAAATAACACACGGAAGAACAAAGACGTCAACACTTTTGGTGCAAAATCCAAATAACTAAGCATTCATTCATGCATTCTAGTCTATAGTGAAAATTAGAAAAGCTGTAATGCCTCCTCTATCATGACATAGATTTAAGTTTTATAAAAACCTAGGCAATTACTATTTGCCAAAATGGAATCCAGTCCATAACAAACATTAGAGAAAATTAGCATCTTCTGGAAGAGTTTTGATCTCTTAAGCTCCACGCCTCCACCTACTCAGAATTAACATCAAACCTCGACATGATTTACCACAACTATAAAATTCTAACTCATAAGAAATGCATGCATACATTTTGCTTAAAATATCCCAGTTGGGTTAATCTGTTTTTTATTAAAAAAAATCATAACCCTGCTTATTCTCACTGAATTCCATTTCTTAATCAGATTTATTCAAATATGATCTCTCTTTAGCTATTAGGATTGGAAAATTTTTAATTTGTCTTTTGAAGTAACTTATAGGCTTATAGCTTAAACAGGAACGGAATGCACTACAGATTCTAAAGTTAAATGGTTAAGTTTAATTTAGCTTTGAACTTTTGTAGTCGGGAGTGCACTAATAGCTTATCAGTAGTAATTTTTTGCCTCCTACGGTGATTGTTAAAATATATCAAAGGGCAAGCCATGTGATGACATCATAATGTGATATATATATATATATATTAATGATAATAAAAATCTCAAGAAGAGGCAACTGATAGAAACTGAACTGAGATAATACTTGCGTATTAAATCTGAAGATAGACCAAAATCATAATCATTTCTACCCCTCCTGATACAGAATATGTTGATCACCAGTAGCAGCACAGCGACAAAAAAGAAGCATGACAGGCCTATTGCAATTTTACCACCTTCAGACAAACGACCATTCTCCCAAAACATAGGACAATCCGGTAAAGAACTCCACACAAGTCTTTGTTACCAGAGAGACTAGAGAAAATAAATCACAGTTAACAGAATACAAATAAAAATATAGATATTTATTAGTAGGCAGATATTTGACAACTGTGAATAGTTACCGGTATAAACAGTTCAAGTGTGGGCCTACTTATGTCCAGCTCAACGAATACTACTATTTGAACAGAGTGATAAATTAATTTTTTCACCAAATATGAAAAGAATAAATGATATCATGGAATCTAAGGAACTAAATTAGTTGAACAGAGTGATGAAAAAGGTGCATAAAAGGGGAAAAGTTCGCAGATGCAAACAGTTGAAATCTATATGCATGCAGAATAGATAAAGGCAAACAATCAACATCCATATGCATGCGAAACAGATAATGGTTCCTCCATAATAAAGGCATAATAAAGAAGAAACCAAAAAGTACTACGTACTCAATGGTTCCTCCATGCACACCAACAGAATAAAGTTCCTCCGGTACTCGCCCTTCCAATAAGTTATTGTTAAGTCTCCTGAGAAATGCATAAGCAAATAGTAATATGTTAGTGGCAAAGAAACATGCAATAGGAACATATGAAAACATTTGAGAGTGAAAGAGTCTAAATAGATTTTTTTGGGGAAAAAAAGAAAGAAAAAACAATAGCCAATTCGCTCAATTTTCAAAAAGCATCAAGAAATAAGTGGAAATGTCACTCCTAGTGTCCACAACATCCTACTCAGGCAACATGATCTACAATGGACTGAATGTTGGGCAACAAAGTATCAACTAACCCCAAAAAGACATGTGTGGTTGAGATGATAATGCCAATTTTGTCAAGGGTGCAAGGTGCACTCTAAGCACTAGTACCCTTATATTTCATCAGTGCAAGGCGCAAAAAATGCGTTAGCCTGAGTGAAGTAAAGTGTAATACGTATATGTGTGTTTTGTGTGTGTGCATATTTATAATTAAGGCTTAAGATACATAATAAAGTGTGGTCTAATTTATCTACAAAACCTATAATTTTTTATTGGTCAATCCCCATCAAGAATATATCTTACAATCGTCCTTCTAATCGTCATCTTTTCTACCTCAGAAGGTCGCTACGGGTATGTATGATACTTGATGTATTGTAAAATATCATGGTACCATGGACGAACATCTACCTCCTCTTCCAGGCTGCAACAATGTGTCGGGATCTTATATACTTGCAGCAAGATTGGCATCATATCCGCCCTTTTACTTGCCTAAAACATTGCAGCCAAGGTAGCCAAAACATCTGCCATCTGATTTTCTTTTCTGAGGAGATAAGTGAATGTGACCTCTTCAAACTCTTTGATCAATTTAATGATCAAGTTTCTATATTCAACTAATTTTGGATCCTTTGTCTCCCACTCACCTTGCAGCTGATTAACCACCGTCCTTATGGTTAATGTTTGTTGTTAAATGCTCAACATTGAGAAGTATAGATTACTATATTATTCCTTTATTACTAATATATATAGGTATATTAAATGAAAAAGTGGAAAAAATTGAAAGAGAACTTCAATCAGTCGGGCTCTTTTATGTCTATCGCTTTGCAATAAAGCATGCCTAGGCACACCAGCCGTGCGCCTAATCAAATGTGCCTTATCTGAATGGGTCTGAGGCACTTTTGTTGTACAATGCTAAGGCACAGGCCGATAAGTATACAAGAGGAAAAGAGGGATTTGCCCCACTAAAAAAAATAGAGAAACATGTTTAATGCAGTTTGGACATCTAAATAGTCATGGAGCACATTTTTCTGTGTCTTACTAAAGATATGGCCATAAACAATAGAACAACCATGCAATATATTCAAATAGGCCCCATATTATAAGAAAATGTTGAGCACATAATATTTTCAAAATCATATTAAGATAATTGCAATTAATACAAAGTTTAGACTGTATGAATAAAGAGATCATACGCAGCATGTAGAGAACAATCATGTATCAAGAAAATGAAAATGTGTTAAATTCTCTAAAAAACAATAGGGACAAGACGTACACAAGCTGCAGATTTGAAGATGTTAAACTTTCCGGTATAGAACCTGAGAATTAATTATTTGACAAATCTCTACAAAGATACAAGTCAAAGGCTATACATTAAATTCAAAAAAAAGTTGACTCGTGCAGCTGATGATCAAATCAGCATCTTGCAGAAACATTGAAAAGCAAGGTAGGACATAGAAAAGTAAAAGTCAATTAAAAAAATATTGCTATCCACCTACTCCACGAAGACTACGTCCATATGCGCAATGAAAATGCAAATAGATAAACTGTGATTAAACAATATTTTTGCTAATTAAGAAAAAATGCTACATTGCTACAAAAAAAGGCTGTTACAGAAGTCTACAGCACATACTGTGATTGAACAATATTTTTGCTAGTTAAGGGTAAAAAGAACACCTAGCAGAAGGGAACGAATGCCAGGAAAAAATTGAAGAAAGACTGCTGTAATAGTCAGCAGTGCACTTCAATTTAATGGAAGAATTAGAACTTACAATCGTGCAAGGGACTTTTGTCCAAGCCCAATTGGTAGAGTGTTGTCCAAGGAATTAGTACTCAGGTTCCTGAACAATTTCAAAAATATATAACTTTCACTAACGGGGCAAGTAATTCCCATGGAAACAACAATGAAATACTATGATTTTTGTTAAATAGTCCGAGTGCAACAAGTTAGAAAGGTAATCATGCTTAATAAATCATTTGCTCCTCATATCTTCACTATGTATATATTGATTGGTTGCAAATGTATATTTAAAACCAAGATAGATGGAAATGATGATGTTGACAAGTATAAGGCATATCTTGTATTTAAAGGATATACTTGAAAAGAATGTATTAATTTTGTAGAGACTTTCTTTTTGGTTTCATTGAAAGACTCTTTAATGATAATCATGTTACTTGTTGCTCATATTTGGTCTTGAGTTACATAAGTTGGATTTCAAAATTGTGTTTATCAATGGTAATATTAATGAGATGTTCTATACGGTATAATTAGAAAATTGTGTCTGATGATACAAAATTACTTATATGTAAATTAAGGAAATCCATTTATGAGTTTAAGTATGACTCTCGTTAATTGTATAACAAATTTTATCAATTGATATCTCGTTTGGTTTTGAGATGAATTTGGTTGACGATTGTATATACTACAGATTCAGTGGGAGTAAACCAAGTGATAACCCTTATTGCTAAAGGAAACAAGTTTAGTCTTGATCGATGCCAAGAATGATTTTGAAACTAAGGAAATGCAAAAAGGTTCCTTATACTTCAGAAATAAATAAAGAGTTTAATGTACACTCAGGTTTGTACGCATTCAGTCGTAGCGTATGGTTTTGGGATATTAAGAAGATATTTAAGCAATTTGGGTATTAATCATTGGATAGCAACCAAATTGATTCATACGATACATTTAAGAACAAAAGTATTACATGCTCACATATCGAAGGTCTAATAAGCAAGAGATCATCAGGTTTATGAACTGCTAATTACGGATTGATAAGAAAGACCACTTGAGTTATTTTGTGACAACAAAGTTGCAATTCTTTATTCCATATACAACAAAAACACCTTAAACTCTAAGCACATAGACATTATGTTTCTGATTGTTAAAGAAAATATAGAGTTGTAATCACTAATTTTCAGCCTAACCCGAAGCCATTACAAGCCCAAACCCAACATCAACAACTCGAATCCGACCTAGGACCCGACCCTGTCCAAACCCGATCTCTACTGCTCACAAGCCATACTCGTGCCATGTCTTGCCATCAGTTGTTTCGCTCATGCCCTGCTAGCACCTCCCCGACAGAAAGCAAGGTCGCTCTCTCCTTCAAAGGATGGCACCACTGAACGTTTCAGAGAGGGTAGACTAGTAGGTTGCTTTGGGGTCGAAGGGCCACCGTGTATGGTGGTTGGTCCTTAGCGTGGTTCTTGGGCGATGAGAGAATGGCGTGAGAAGGGTTGTCGCTGTGGTATTCCCACGTCGTAAACCACCGGCCGGAGTAGAATGGCCACCCAAGCAGGGTAGCCGAGGTGGTGTTGGCTCCGACACACTGGAGCATAGGGCTCTTTGGGGGCTGCCACCGTTTGAGCGAAGTGAGGAAGTGAGGGTTGAAACCATCGGGCAGAATGGGTGTGAAAAAGGGAGGATAGTTCTTATCTTTAGATTTTGGGCAAATTACGCTAAGGTTCTCATACCTTTAGCATGTTTTGCATTTAAGTCACTAAGTAGTGGGTTTATTACGCATAGGTCCTATAACTTTAGGAAACCCATGTTATTCTGGTCACTAAGTTAAGGCTAAATTACTATTTGGGTCCTTGTTTTTAGCCTAGGTAACATTTTGAGCATTTGTTCGTGGGAAAATCTCCCTTTGGTACTTTATATTTTATCGTATTTCACATTTAGGTCACTAGATTCATCTTTATTTACTAGTTTTGATTTAAGTCTGCAGGTTTTGTTACATTTTATTATGGACACTTGCTATATATTATTTATTTGTTTCGAATTGTTCTGTTAATTTTCATTATTTTTATTTAGGTCACTGCTATAATTATATTTTGATTGATATCTTCATGTTATAATTTATTTCACATTTGACATATAATTTGTAATATTCTATTTTAGTCCCTAGTTGTGTTGTAATGTAGTATACGTTATATTTTTCTTATAAAATATGTAGTATGTATTTTAAGTGATGCATATGTTTTATATTTTAATATTTATAATTTAGGTAAATGTACAATTTTATATTTTTAACTTAAGTACTTTAATTTATTTATTTACATTTGTAATGTTCATTTTAGTAATTATATTTTTCTTGTTTATTTAATGTAATATTTATACTTTAAAGTATGCACTTGATAATTTAGTCCAATTTTATTTCCAGCATTGAATATCATTTAATTTTTATCTTTGTTTTAGTTTCCATTTATTTGTTCCTAATTAGTATTTTTAATTTTTAGCTTTTGCCATGTAAATTTGTTTGTGCATAGATCTAGATATTTCGAATATATATGAAAGCCTCGTATAAATCAACTTATTACATAATTTGATTAAAGTTAGTGATTATTTATTTTAAAATATTAAGAAATGATCGTCATAAAGTAACTAGATGTCATGTTCTGTTATTTTAAAATAAATAAATACCATATTTAGAAAAACCTAAAAATTTTGAATATGCCTACTTTAGTTATATTCATTATGGTTGAATCAAATTATTTTAATGTTGAGTTCTTGGGAGAAATTATTATATTCTTTTTATTTCAGTTGGAAAGAGAAATATTCGTCCTAAAGTATTTGAGGGATTATTTTCTCTTCGATTGGAAATATTAGAATATTTTCTATTTCTCCTTAGAATTTTCCGTTAAATAAAATTGCATGGTTGAATTTGGAATAACGGGACCGTAACTTAAATTTGTATTCGAATTCTTAGACTTCCACTATTAGAGACAATTTATAATCGATGGAGTATCAATTTTGGGCGTTGTGGGGGTATTTATCCTTCCCCACGTGTAATCGATCCCCGAAATTTTTATTACAAAAAAGAATGAATCTCTGGTTACACGTAGACTGATTTATCTTTTAAAATGATGTTTTCTTTAAAACTCTTTTAAAAGAAAATTTTTAGGTATTCGACCTACCTAACTCAAAAGGTCGATGGCGACTCAAAAGCTTTTCAAAACCTTTTCAAAAGAAAACCCTCAAGTCGTACTAAGTTTTCTCCCCGCCCGGGCGAAAAACGATGTCAACAGCTTGGCAACTTCGCTGGGGACATTAGAGGGTCAAGCCTTAAATCGATTACATATTCAATTTTAGTGGGAGTTTTTAATTTAAATGCTTGTTGGTTATAAACACAATTTCAATTACTTCAGTTTAATGATATTTATTTTAAGGTTATTTTCTGCAGAAATAAAGTTTGTTTTGGTTTATCCACACTCTGGTTTTGGTAAAATTTTATCTTACTAAGAGGACCATTTGGTAATAGACATGTACAGTTCACATTGCATGTAATTTCTATGCTAGGCTTCATGATTGATCTATGTCATTTGACTGTGTTTGTATACGTGACCATTGATTGGTCTAGTCATGATTGATATGGTAAAGGCCGCTTTGAACCTATATGGATATAGTTGATGAACGAGATTGTTATAGAATCATTGTTATAGAATATCTATTGTGTGATAACAAATTTTGTGTAACACCCCAACCCGTACCCGACCCGGATACGAGTTTGAGATGTCACATTGACATTTTCAAAACCTTTATTCTTGTAAAATAACTGAGCATTTGAATTTATATTAAGAAAATACAATCATATATTGTTCAATTGTGTTTGGTATAAAATTTTGAGATAAAAATGTGTTTATGAACAGTGAAATATGGTATGAACAGTATCGTGAATAGTAAGGAACACCGATGCATAAAACTTCAAATGGCTACAGTGCATCGATGCATTGCTACAGTGCAGCAAAGAAACTATTCTATTTCAGAATGATATAAATCCTCTAACATTATAATTTCCAATTCATCTAAACTGTTTAACTCTACTCTTTTCAATTATAATTGACATTTTTATGGTAATTATAAAATTGGTTTATTTCTAATCTTACTTCAAATTCATTGAATAGTAATTCATCAACTTAGTAAGAAATTAAATTCTCTGAATTATAATGGGACACTTTCGATATATCTTATTTATCCACACACTGTACCCTAATAAATTTTCACTGTCATATTACTATAAATAACTTCTAATTGAATTATCAATTCTTTCACCAATTTACTACTAATATATGAACATGCAAGCCTAAATCAATCATTATCATAATGTATTTATTTCACACTAGAAACATACTTGCTATTATCTCCGGATCATCAAAATCTTCATTGGTATTAATATTATACATTCGAGCAGTGGAGCGTATTTCTTGTTGAGTAGAGGATTCAGGTTGGCTCCTACCTCTTCCTCTACCTCTCCCTCTCCGAGACATCGAAGCAGATCGCTCCGACTGTACTGGTTCTCTTTTCCCCAATGGGCAATCTCTCACAAAATGTCTCGTTTCAGCATATCGGAAACAAGCTCTGGATTCTACCCTACATATTCCACCATGATATTTTCCACAAGTCTGACAATGTCTCTTTTGGGTTATGTCCTCACCAAACCCTACTGATTGGGTCTGTCTAGCTTTCATCTGATTTGATTCTCTAACAGAGGATACTACCGATCCAGACCTTGCCTGAGACTGAGTACCAGAATCTCTACCCCTCTTGGGTGGTGCAAAACTCGATAAAGCCCCGGTTCTTTTAGATGGTTAGGTTCTTTGATCCCAAACCTTTCATTCTGAGTTCTCTCTAGAGCTTTAGCACGATTTACTATTTCTTGAAACAAGGACAAGTTCAACACTATTAACATTTCTTTCAACCTCGGGCGCAAGCCCTCTACAAACCACTCACACACATCCTTCTCTGTTGAGATCAACTCAGTCGCAAAACGACTTAACTTATTAAACTCGCACTCGTACTCATACACTGTACGATTCATCTGTTTCAGATTCAAAAATTCTTGCTTCATTTGC